GAATGTGATCAGAATGATGGAGGTAATGTAGGACAGTGTGCATCATGGGAGCATAGTCATGGGAGAGTATGAGTCTGTGTAGGAAGAATACACAGGGGAATAAGAAGGGTTTATCCTTTATGTTAAAGTGCTCCTCGCTTATGCAATGCTCCACTGTGGGGCTGCAGACATCCTGTCAGAGATGGGAGGAAAATAAGGGATGTTGTGGTACGATCTGTTATGGACCACCTGAACAAGACAAAGTAGTGATTTCTACAACTGGGAGAAACTCAAGTCTCCTCTGCTTTAGGGAGGTTTTCAGCCATGTGGACATCTGCTATGAGGGCAACAGCACCAGGCAATTCTTAGAAATTCTTAGGCAGTGCTGATGTCAATATCCCAATGTAAATACTGGACAAGCAACACTGAGTATTGGAAGCAGGGATGATGAACTTGTGATAAATATGATCCCAGATGGCACCTCAGTCTGCAGCAAACACATGATGACTGGATGAAGGATCCAGTGGAAAGCTGGGGAGATAAGCAACAGAATTAGCACTCTAGACTTTGTAAGATTGGAATTCATTGCATTCAAGGAACTGCTAGTTAGCACACACTTTGCAGCAGCTATGATAGAGAAGAGACTGCTCAGGAGAGATATGCTTTATAAGCACAATCATCTTGAATTTTGGGGGCTATTTTAACCCTTCATAGGATGCTGCATTACATGTATTGTCATAGATCAATTCTCAAATAGCTTTATTTTTACAGCTATGTCCACAGCTGTATTCAAAACAGGTAAGTCAAAACTGCTTTTCTTTCACACCCTAATTAGTAATTTCTATAAGCACTCACTGGCAATGTGTACTAGAACCCAAAATAATATCTGCCCATACTGTATGGAGCAGTTTTAGTCTCCTATGGGTGTTACATGAGTTGCTTGAGCAGTGTGGTAGCCCCCTCTAATTTGCAGTTGGTATTTCTGTCCTGAAAGGACAGCTGCTGAGAAATTAGGAGATACTTGGTGAAGAGCCTGAAGCAGGAAACTTGAGGAACCTGAATTCCCTGAACAGCATGAGCAGGGAGAAATTTTAACACAGGACTTCAGTGCTGGACATGGCAGGAGCTAGAAGGAATTCAGCTTCCTAGTTTTCACTTCTCCTGAGTGCAGTCTGTTTAGTATGAGTCTACTATTCAACCAAAAAAGGCAGAATGACTCATCTTTCTCCAAGGATTTGTGAATAGCAGCTGAACATACAGAGAAATTGTGCAGGAGGTCTCAATTCCTATATGAAGAATTATTTTGTGGAGGTTACATTATTAATCAGATATTAAATGCCCTCTACATTACTACCTTGCACCAAACAAGAATTCAAAATTTCCACACCAATTCTCTGGTAATGGGCAGCTCTTCTTCCTAATCCATATGAAAAGATTAGCCTTTTGAGATATTCCACTGTCCTCATAACGCATTTAGTGAGGTCAGGGATGAGCTCTGGGCTTGGCTTCCAATCTGGGGCTCTAAATGTGCCAGAGGAGTTTTGGAAGAGGCTCCTACAGCACAGGAAATCATCTGATGCTGCATATTGCACTGGATAGCAGGCATTGTTTTTCTAACCACTTCATTGTGATATTCCTTGAACTAATTTAATGACTGAAATGCAAATGACCAGGAGAAAAATGTCTTTAGATCTAGAGGATCTGAAAAAGTCTGAATTATTAAGGTCAAGTGTGGATGTGGCACTTGGGGCCAAGGTTTAGGGGTGGACCTGGCAGTCCTGGGTTGACAGTTGGACTGGTCTTTTCCAGCCTAAAAAATTCTGTGTTTCTATGATACTGTGATTACACTCTTTCCTAAAACTGGACCAGTTAGTCTCCTGGACTACCAGCAAATCTCTTTATCCCACACCATCAGCATTACACATCCTGTTGCCCCTAATGGCCTGGTACAGGAAGTGCTGTGTTGTTAGGTGTTTCTGGGACTGTGAATGTGTAAATACACTTATTTTGATGGCATGGCACTGCAAGAATGAGGTTTTATCAGAATGAATAGCAGCTGGAATTGTATGCCAAGGTTTGTATGATTGGCACAAGCATGGCATGCTGGTTTCTGGGGAGTTGGAGGTAGGGAGAGGATATAGGAACCTCTGGAGCTTCAGGTTTGACAGAGGGAACTTGTTATTTATGCAGACAATCAAAGGTGCAAGTACACATCAATTTCAAGTAAGAAATGCAAGACTGTCAAAAGTGAGAAAGCAAAGTTTCTTGAGAAATCACTTTTAAAATTAAATACACACAAACTCATATATTATCTATGCATGCACAAGCATATATTTTGTTTTGATGTGATAGTGCAGCCCCCCTTCCTACTCAGGTCTGCTCTACAATCCTGTCAGGAATTCCCATAAAGCCTTGAGGAGTGTCCCTTGACTCTACCAAGGGCACTTGCATGGCTAAGGTGGGAGCAGCAGTGCCTTTATCAGGAACTCCAGTTGGCTGGCTAAGGTGAAGGATGAGAGAGGGAATAATCAGTCACTTGCTAAAAGCCTTGGAACTTTCCCTACCTAAATTGCAGCCATGTAGAATGGTACCATTGTTGCTGGAGTTTTGGTAATTCCAGTACCATTGCTGCTGGAATTTTGGAAGCACCAGTAATTGCTGACCTGGATTGTGTCCAGGATAGAAATGTATGGATGGCTAAAATTATATATCTTGCAACCCTATTAATAGCCGGCCTTAGTGAGGCACTTTGAGCTCTCCTGGACTGCAGCAGGCTGCAACCAGCATCTCCCTCAGAGTGGGGTGCTTCTCAAAACTCATGAACTCTAAAAGTTGTGAAAAATGGCGGACTGATTTTCAAAAAATTCACCGGAAGTTGAATCACCAGACCAATATCTTCTGCTCCCTGAGGCTCAGCTACTGCCCAGTGAGAAATTTGAAATGAATATTTCACTGAACTCAGAAGGACCTTTTAACAGGTGTAAGCCTTGAACTTTATATACACACCTTTGTGTCTGTGTGTGTCCATGTGTGAACTCATTTAGGCACTCTACAGCAAGAATAGTTTTAATGTTGCTATCTGAGATCTATAATTAAGTCACTGTTGCAATTAGAGTAAATACTTTTCAATCACTTTGTGAATGTTAACTTAGTCAATGATTAAGTCCTGCTAAAACCCTTTAGACACAAACTGTTGACTAGGTCTGGTATTATGAGTGGATCCAACTGCACCTAGACTCTGTCAGGAGTTTAGAAACCAAGGGGCCCTCTGTGAACCCCATAACTCAACAGGAGGATTTTCCTTATGCTTTTTACCCTTATCCTTTGCATCCCCAGTTGTTAGGCAAATCATTATAAAGGAATTCTTAGTCAATTTTTCTTGATCTTTGTAGCAAGTAATCGAGCAAACCTCACCATCAAACTTCATTGTGCTTTTGCAAATTTATATTGAACCTTCTTTTGCTAATGCCTTTGATGGTGATACTTTAAGCAACCCTAACTCATTTTCAACATCTGATTCCTTAACAGACAGCTCAGGAATCTATTCAAGAGCTCCATATCAAAATAGAGTCTCCCATTACTTGGGATCAGGCTCCTAACTCATTGTATTTCAAATAATTTCAGCTATTGAGAGTGTCCTATACAGAAAACTCAGCTGTAATAGATTTCTACTTCCTGCTTTTTAGAAAATACCACTGAAAAGTGGCTCCCAACATTATCTGCTAGTTTTTGACATATTTTCCCTGTTCCTCCCAATGCATATGTTCCTAAAGCATCATAGGCGTTGTCATCACCATTACATGACTGAAAAGTTGTGGTATAAACATACCAAGGAAACTACCATGGGTCAAGGAGCAAATCACTGAGAAAGGCAGCAATAGAACCATGCAAGTTCTCTAAGTGCCTTGAGTAGTCTAGATTCTCTCCTTAACACTCTTGACAAATTATTTATAGATGTATTCACGTAGTCAGTAAGATATAAAAATGTTCTAATTATATCATTCAAATCAAGTGACAATTATGCCCTTAGTTTGACAGACAATGCTTGGCCAAAAAAGGTTTGCCAGAAATGTTTTGACCGAAGAAAGGGGAACCATCTGCATCATCTGCAGACAAGACACTATAAAATCTGCCAGAGACAAGTCTAGCCTGTCTCCGCAGAAAGGCTTCTAGGTAAGTGCATGCATTTCATGAGCTTGGAGAAAGAGGACAATATCCTTGCAATATCCTGTTTCATTTCTTCTGTCTCTAACAACCATTTCCATGAGGGAGTGCCCATGTGAACAAAACTTTCAGTGTGATTTTGATGCATGTCTGTATTTTCAATCTACAGTGTTTTATGGAATTCTGTTCAGCCGTAAGAAACAACTGCCATTCCTATTTTGCAGGGTTTGCCCTATTCCAGGATACAAGCTGTTATCCAAAGGTAATATACTGAATAATCCATTCCTAATCTATATTCTAGGACTTTTAAAAAGCTGCATGAATTATCTTCATAAATCCTCTTATATTCCAGCTGAATTTGCTCAGGCTAGATAGTAGGAAACAGGAAAGATCTAAAAAATGCAGTAATTTTTCATTTTTAATAGAAAAGGTAACTCTTTCAGCAAGAAAGTACTCTCTTGAAGACTCATTGCTCATAATTAAGGACAAGATCAGAGAGTGATTTTTCTATGACTGTAGATTCTTTTATGTGAAAAACTCAAACCTTGTCAGAATTCAGGGTGACTTACCAAACTGTACTCAATATTTAGATGTTCTATTTACTGTTACAAGATCTACATGTTGTTGAAGTCTAAAACTTACTCTTGGATTCAGACTAGGGTACTTTTAACTTCAAATCAAAGTAGATTTAATTGGTTTCTTCCTAAGAGCTTATTTTGGAGACTTACTAGGAATTTATTTGCTAAAGAGCAAAGAGATTTCTCATTAGTATAGATTGTCTTATTCTTCTTGATGACCAATAACTTTTTTTTCTCCACAAGACACCTCTGCTGACGAGGTTTCATTAGAGGGCAGACATGGCGTCTGGAGATGCTGAGATGGCTGTTTTTGGGGAGGCGGCTCCTTACCTCCGAAAATCGGAAAAGGAGAGAATTGCAGCCCAGAACAAACCTTTTGATGCCAAATCGTCTGTCTTTGTGGCTCATCCTAAAGAATCCTTTGTGAAAGGGACAATCCCGAGCAGGGAATCAGGCAAAGTCACTGTCAAGACTGAAGGGGGAGAGGTGAGTCAAAAACAAGGCTGAAGGACAACATTCGATCCCCACTTTGAGCTTTCAGGTGATACATGTGGATCCGTTGTTTCCTTGGCAGACCCTGACTGTGAAGGAAGATCAAATCTTCTCCATGAACCCTCCCAAGTATGACAAAATCGAGGACATGGCCATGATGACCCACCTCCACGAACCCGCTGTGCTGTACAACCTCAAAGAGCGTTACGCAGCCTGGATGATCTACGTAAGTGGCAGCAGCAGCTTCCTTTGGGCAGCCTCAGGAGCTGCTGGGCCAGGCTCAGGGGAAGCCAACGTGCTGTGTCCCTTCCTCACAGACCTACTCGGGTCTCTTCTGCGTCACTGTCAACCCCTACAAGTGGCTGCCGGTGTACAACCCCGAGGTGGTGTTGGCCTACCGAGGCAAGAAGCGCCAGGAGGCCCCTCCACACATCTTCTCCATCTCTGACAACGCCTATCAGTCCATGCTGACTGGTGAGTGCTTGATTTCCTTTGAGCTGCTCTTGAAATCGTCTATTTGTAGAGGGAAATGTAGGTTTCTTCGGAAATACGCCAGACTTAAAAAAATTTGTGCATGTGAAATTAATGGAATTTGAATGCACTTATTTCTAATGGTCTGTGAGAGCTGAGTGTCAGCATTCCCATTAGAATCACTAATGACCTGGACATAACCTAGAGAGTGTAAATTCACTGGAAAGAATTCACCTGTTTTGTGTTGTAGACCTTATGCCTATAATGGAATCTTACATACATGGATGGATTTATGTATCTTAATCACTAAATTAGTCTCAGATGGAGAGCACAGGGTACAGTTAAATGACACATACCCTATAAATGATGTGCATAATATCAATTTAAATTTTCAACCATCAGTGCTGACAAATAATACAGAGATCTCTACCTTAAACAGGCACATAAGCCTCTCCTGAGGTACCTATTATGCAAATAGATTTCATTATGTAGATGATGGCCATGTGATCTAAATTACATGAAGCCTTCAATGATCTCTGGAACTCCTGCACTGGTCTATAGCATGCTGGTAGCTGCATCTATAAATCAATTGCACTGTATAGTGAAAAGTAAACTTCACATAACAATATCAAAGAAAAAAATACATATTTTAGCATTTAAATTGACTTAAAAAATTTTCTTTCTGTTTTTTCCTTTTCTTTTCATCTCATTTTCTCTTCCTTATATATATATTGAAATAAAAGATGTGAAAGATTTTAGAACTTCTTCTCTTATTCTCTTCTTAGACACTGGGAAATGCATTCAGAATAGAAAAATAAAAAAGGAATGTCATTGATGTATAATCTCAAGAATGCATAATTTCCGTATATATAGGGATTAAAAAACAGAGGTGAAAAAGGGTGAAAGAGGTTGGTCAGATGTTTCTGTAATTAATGTTGCCTCCAAGTTTCCATAAGATTATTCAAGAAACTTTTAGATTCAGAAGAATTGACATACAAAAAAAATTACAGCCTCAATATTTTAATTGCCTGTACTTGCCTATTAAGAGAGAAATAAGTAGCTTGATGAAAAGACAATGTCAGGAAAGGCATAAGACTATCGAAGTTTCTCTGAAGTGATTCCTTTACAGAACCAGTTGCTAATAGCTGAAGTACTGCTGATAGCATCAAAAGTACCCACTAGAATTCCCTGGGCACTTCTTGCTATTTTCTCTTCCTGGATCCTCTGGAAGCTTCAGTTCTTATTTTTCTCCTAGTTCTTGAATCTTATTTGTCTTTTCTTATCCGTGTTTCTTTCCTCTATCTCTTCACAGACCGGGAGAACCAGTCCATCCTGATCACGTACGTACACCCCCTGTGCGGGTCCCTGCGGGGCTCTCTGGTGCCAGGGCACCTCCTGCCTGACCACGCACCCTCTGCTTCTCTCTTGGCTTTGGCAGCGGAGAATCCGGTGCCGGGAAGACTGTGAACACAAAGCGTGTCATCCAGTACTTTGCAACAATTGCAGCCAGTGGAGAGAAGAAGAAGGAAGAGCATGCATCAGGCAAAATGCAGGTAAATTAGTAGACACATGTTGGGGTGAATGCTTTCCTTTGTTCTTGACATGATTTTTGGAAAGGATAACTGGCAAGAATTATCTCCCTGCAGGGAACGCTTGAGGATCAAATCATCAGCGCCAACCCACTGCTGGAGGCCTTTGGAAACGCCAAGACTGTGAGGAACGACAACTCCTCACGCTTTGTGAGTTGTTACTTGGGACAACTGTCAATGCCAATTTGAATATTTTTGCTGTCTGAATTGGTAAAATAGGTCTCAATTGACTTTCCTGCTGCTTTCAGGGTAAATTCATCAGAATCCATTTTGGTGCCACAGGCAAACTGGCTTCTGCTGACATTGAAACATGTAAGACACCCTTGTGGCCTGATCCCCTTCCCTCCAGCCTTCCCCACTTCTTGTGCTTGACTGTGTCCTACCATCCTTGCCAGATCTTCTGGAGAAGTCCAGGGTCACTTTCCAGCTCAAGGCGGAAAGGAGCTACCACATCTTTTATCAGATCATGTCCAACAAGAAGCCAGAGCTAATCGGTAGGAAAGATCACTAACATTTTTTGAAGGAAAATCACTGAGCAATTCATTGTGTTATCTGGAAACTAAAGTAAGCTTGTTTTTCTCCTGTTGCTTTCAGACATGCTCCTCATTACCACCAACCCTTATGATTTCCACTTTGTGAGTCAAGGTGAGATCACTGTTCCCAGCATTGATGATCAGGAGGAGCTGATGGCCACAGATGTGAGTAACTTTACCAAATGATCATCTGGTGGAGTTGAGCCCTGCTATATGTACATTTGTGTTTCTGTTGCCAGAGTGCCATTGACATCCTGGGCTTCAGTGCTGATGAGAAAACAGCCATCTACAAGCTGACAGGGGCTGTCATGCACTACGGAAACCTGAAGTTCAAGCAGAAACAGCGTGAGGAGCAGGCAGAGCCTGATGGCACAGAAGGTATCAACAAATTCAGCAAGCTTTCCAAAAGAGATAGTCTTAATTACGTAAGGACTTAGGCAGACTTCATGCTTTAAATGTGTAAATTAATAATAAGAGTAGTTGCTCCATGACTAGATGCCAGTTGAGGCATTCATCTCATGTAACGATACTGTTACTTTTTCTTCTGTGACTACTATATAAGAGGTTCAGTGTACACTGATAGGAAGCCAGGAGACTTGCATGTAAATTGCTATAACATTACTAATCATAGTAAGTTGAAATACACCTTCCAACCTCTACTGTAGTATGGAGCAGTGAAATGGTTTAACCTAACGAGACACAAGGCTGTGCTCCTCTTCACCCTCACCTACTGGAGAGAATTCTGATATGAGAAGTGTACTTCATTAGTCTCTGCCACAGCAGGAAGGACAGTCCACACCTCCATCTTTCTGAGTGATAAATCCTCCTGCTATATGACTAGAAAGTTTGAAGTTCCATACTGACACCTGAAAGAGGATAAAGGCAATGAGCTCTCTTGAAGAAGGTTTGCAAAAACTGAAGTTCAGAAAGAGTTATAGACTCTGAGTCCTGGACACAAAGGGGAAATTAGCTTTGTAGCTTTGACAGATACTGTTGTGAAACCTTGTGGAGAACACTATAGGGCCAGTCAGTCAAGCACCGACTTTTAGGAATTTTTGAATATCTATTTTTCTCTCTTTTCTCATGTTCAGTTGCTGACAAGGCTGCTTACCTGATGGGTCTGAACTCGGCAGACCTGCTCAAAGCCCTCTGCTACCCCCGAGTCAAGGTGGGGAATGAATACGTGACCAAGGGCCAAACTGTGCAGCAGGTATAAAAAATATGGCAATGTGGAGCATGCTGTGATGGTTCCCATTGATTCTCCTCTGCCCCGTACAGTAACCTCCAAAGCTTTCTCTATGCTTTAGGTGAATAATTCAGTGGGTGCCCTGGCAAAGGCTGTCTATGAGAAGATGTTCCTGTGGATGGTTGTTCGTATCAACCAACAGCTGGACACGAAGCAGCCCAGGCAGTACTTCATTGGTGTCCTGGACATTGCTGGCTTTGAGATCTTTGATGTAAGGAGCACAGTTTTCCTAGTATTTTTGTAGAACTATAATTGAGAATTTTGAAGTATATTTTATAGAAGTGAGTATCTCCCTACACTTATTCATAGGGCTTTTGGAATCATGTTTCTAATCTTGAAAAAATAATAGAATAGAAAACTAATCTTCTAATTCCTCTAAATTAGAAAACTCTCTTTTCTAAATACAAAGCCTATCCTAGAGAGACAGCAAAGGAAAACTACATGGGAAGAGGACTTGTTTTTAAAGTATAAAACATGGTGAATTACGATTGCCCGAAAAAACACCTTGGTATTATTGCTGATCCTTGAAAGCGTTGTACGTCTTTTTATGCCTGGCAGTTCAACAGCTTTGAGCAGCTGTGCATCAACTTCACCAATGAGAAGCTGCAACAGTTTTTCAATCACCACATGTTCGTGCTGGAGCAGGAGGAGTACAAGAAGGAGGGGATTGAATGGACATTCATTGATTTTGGGATGGACCTGGCTGCCTGCATTGAGCTCATTGAGAAGGTATCCTTCCTGTTCAAGTCTAATATAAATTGGGTGTTCTATGCTTGCCAAGAGAAACAATTAAGAAGCATGTGAGAATATTTTGGCTTCTTCAAATATATACTGTGTGAAAGTGGCAACAGGGTAGATGTTGGCGATCATTACTCAGATATTAGGACTTTTGGTGAGAGAATTAATTGCCAAATTAAAAAATGAAGTGAAAAGGTAGTCATATTCTCTAAGTACTTATCAGTAAATAGATTTTATAGAGAGGACAGTATTTCACATTGTCATATCTATACTAACTTAATCAGCAAAGGCATTTCCATAATTTTGAATGAAACAGCAACACGGGAAAAAGTTGAGCCTTACCTGATTTTCTCTGACTTAAAGTCAGTGTGGGAACAGCTTCCTTTTTTGACATCAGCAACTTTCCAATCAAGAGATGTCTCCTTTCTAATATGTTTCTCTCTCTTGTCTGCCGTAATTTCTCCCAGCCCATGGGCATCTTCTCCATCCTGGAAGAGGAGTGCATGTTCCCCAAGGCAACTGACACCTCTTTCAAGAACAAGCTCTATGACCAGCACCTGGGCAAGTCCAACAACTTCCAGAAGCCCAAACCTGCCAAAGGCAAGACTGAGGCCCACTTTTCCCTGGTGCACTATGCTGGCACAGTGGACTACAACATCTCTGGCTGGTTGGAGAAGAACAAGGACCCTCTGAATGAAACTGTCATTGGGCTGTACCAGAAATCATCTGTGAAGACCCTGGCATTACTCTTTGCCAACTATGGTGGAGCAGATGCCGGTTAGTTTTGTGGAAACTGTATTTTTAGTGTGGGACAATTGTGTGGGACAATTGTCACAGAATTAAAGCCATAAACACTAAACACTTAAAGTTGTTTTATGTTAATTTTAAAAGTGGTTTTTTTTTCCCCTTTATTCAATTGGCAGAGGCTGGTGGTAGCAAGAAAGGAGGCAAGAAGAAGGGTTCCTCCTTCCAGACTGTCTCAGCTCTTTTCCGGGTATAGTACTGCATCTGTTACCTTTGAAATGTGAAGAAAGGGGGTGAGCTAATATTAAATTTGAAAAGCTATTTTAAATTACTGTAAAGGGGGTAAATTTCTTTGGAAATTCCACATCAGATTTTCCGGGGTCAATTTTAAATTGCACGTATGTCCAAAAATGAGCACTTAGTCTTCAAAATCATGGTAATCCACTAATTTGTGGTGGTTTTCTTCTTAGCTTTTTTATTAGCAGATATCATTCAGATCTTCATATTTTTATGTCTTTGGGTAAGACTAGAATGGTAATATTAGTATTCCTTCATTGCTGTTGAGGAGTTGAAAATAATTTCAAAGGAGATATTTATCTCATTGGAATAAATGCCTATTCTTAAAAACTTACAAAGATTAACTTCTGAAGGCAGAATGTGAAAAATCTAAGTCATTTATTCTCTATGACTGTATGAAATCATATATTAGTTTTCACTGAACCAGTAACAGCTCTGTAGTATTTCAGTCTAAAAATGGTGCTCAGTATCTTCAAATAGAGGACATTTTTTTGGTTTCTGTTGCTTTATCAAAATGCTCCAAAATCCAGTTTGAGCAGTTGTAAAATCATAAACTGGGCTTGGTGCATCAATACAAGGAAGCTCACACTGGTAACTGGTTCCTCTAGGAGAATCTGAACAAGCTGATGACCAATCTGCGCAGCACCCACCCCCATTTTGTGCGCTGTATCATCCCCAATGAAACTAAAACACCTGGTAAGCTGCTGAAGCAGAAACATCCTTGCTCTAATACACCCATTCCCCTGTGCTGTGCAATCTGTGCCATTCCTTTGTGCTCTGCATTGCCAGGTGCCATGGAGCACGAGCTGGTGCTGCACCAGCTGCGCTGTAACGGCGTGCTGGAAGGGATCAGGATTTGCAGGAAAGGCTTCCCCAGCAGAGTCCTCTATGCTGACTTCAAACAGAGGTGAGAGCTCTGCGCTTTTCAGCATCATTAAAAGCAACATTGGTTCATTCATGGGTCCATTTAAGCTGTGTTCTAATTTTAAAAAGAGCTGGTGGGTTTTAGTGGCTACTGTGTGTTGCTCAGAAAACAAAAGCCTTATCTTCTTCTGATTCCACAGATACAAGGTGCTTAATGCCAGTGCCATCCCCGAGGGACAGTTCATCGATAGCAAGAAGGCTTCTGAGAAGCTCCTTGGGTCAATCGATGTGGACCATACCCAGTACAAATTTGGACACACCAAGGTACAAACCCCCCCATTCATTGTGTCCCTGGGCTTTGCTCTACCTGACAGTGATGTGCTGCAACATTGCCTCTCTCAAGGTGTTCTTCAAAGCTGGGCTACTGGGACTCCTGGAAGAGATGAGGGATGAGAAGCTGGCACAGCTCATCACCCGCACCCAGGCCAGGTGCAGGGGCTTCCTGATGAGGGTGGAGTACCAGAGAATGGTGGAGCGGAGGTACACCTTCCTCTTCTTCAGTTAAAGTCACTCTGCTTGGGGGAAATTGTTGACACTCGTCAGATTGAGAATATTCATTGTACTTTTTAATTCTTTCTCAGGGAATCCATCTTCTGTATCCAGTACAACATTCGTGCATTCATGAATGTCAAACACTGGCCATGGATGAAGCTGTTCTTCAAGATCAAGCCCTTGCTGAAGAGTGCAGAGTCTGAGAAGGAAATGGCCAACATGAAACAAGAGTTTGAGAAAACCAAGGAGGAGCTTGCAAAGTCTGAGGCAAAGCGGAAGGAGCTGGAGGAGAAAATGGTGAAACTGGTGCAGGAGAAAAATGACCTGCAGCTACAAGTGCAGGCTGTGAGTTTATCACCTTTAGTTTATCACTCAAAAAATATGTTTGTACATTCAGACTGTATTTTATGAACAGAAGATCAGATTAGAGAAGACCAAAAGTCATAAATTTGGGGAATTATCATCATACCATCATATATATGTGAAGGTGAGGAAACAAATTCTGGCAGTGATGTGGTAAGCACTCTGATAGCCAGTGCAAAGATACAGAGAGTTTCAAGTGGCAGTCAGTGCTCTTGTCTGCAGAAGATAGAGGCAAATGTAGATCCTTGACACACAGTAGAATAATGAATTAATTTTGCAGCAAAATGCAAGCCACACTTGAAAGTGGTACTTGAGAATGCAGGTGTGGGAAAAGTCATCCTCCCTTTGCTTGGTAACTAGCAGTTAAGATCCTTCTGTTGCTGGAGCTGCAGGTCAGCTGCAGCTGCTAGTCTGTGATTAAATAGGCAGAGCAGAGAAAGTTCAAAACATTAGAACCCTCAAAATTCTGTCTCCCCACTAGGAAGCAGATAGCTTGGCTGATGCTGAGGAAAGGTGTGACCAGCTCATCAAAACTAAAATCCAGCTGGAAGCCAAAATTAAGGAGGTGACTGAAAGGGCTGAGGATGAAGAGGAAATTAATGCTGAGCTGACAGCCAAGAAGAGGAAATTGGAGGATGAATGTTCAGAGCTGAAGAAAGATATTGATGACCTTGAGCTAACACTGGCCAAGGTGGAGAAGGAAAAACATGCCACCGAAAACAAGGTATGAGGCAGAACCTGTCACTCATACTCTGGAAAAGATTTGTCTTGTTATGAACTTTTAAAGCACCATTTTCTATCTGTTCTTGCTCCTTTCTTCTCAAAGGTGAAAAACCTGACTGAGGAGATGGCAGCCCTGGATGAGACCATTGTGAAGCTGACAAAAGAGAAGAAAGCCCTCCAAGAGGTCCATCAGCAGACCCTGGATGACCTGCAGGCAGAGGAGGACAAAGTTAATACTCTGACCAAAGCCAAAAGCAAGCTGGAACAGCAAGTGGATGATGTAAGTACACAGACATGGAGCAGGAATAGGACAGGTCTGGAGCCTGATCAGGCTGGTAGAGCACTGATGGTCTTGTTGTGTTTAGCTGGAAGGGTCCCTGGAGCAAGAGAAGAAACTGCGCGTGGACCTGGAGAGAGTTAAGAGGAAACTGGAAGGAGACCTGAAGCTGGCCCAGGACAGCATCATGGATTTGGAGAATGATAAGCAGCAGCTGGATGAGAAACTGAAGAAGTAAGTGTGGCTCTGGGGCACCTGAGGGCTGAGCTGGAGCACTTGTCCTTTTTCTTTGAGCTCTAACACAATTCACTTGGCCCAAAGGAAAGACTTTGAAATCAGCCAGATCCAGAGCAACATTGAGGATGAACAAGCCCTGGGTGTGCAACTTCAGAAGAAGATCAAGGAGCTGCAGGCAAGTGTCTGTTCCTTCCCCTGCCTTGCTGAGGCTCAGCTCAGGCAGGAGGAGGGCACGGGTGTGAAGGGTCCCTGCTGTTCTGCAGGCCCGTATTGAGGAGCTGGAGGAGGAAATTGAGGCAGAGCGAACCTCTCGCGCTAAAGCAGAGAAGCATCGGGCTGACCTGTCCAGGGAGCTGGAGGAGATCAGTGAGCGCCTGGAAGAAGCAGGAGGGGCCACAGCAGCTCAGATCGAGATGAACAAGAAGCGTGAGGCAGAATTCCAGAAGATGCGCCGTGACCTGGAAGAGGCCACGCTGCAGCACGAAGCCACGGCTGCCGCCCTGCGCAAGAAGCACGCGGACAGCACAGCTGAGCTGGGGGAGCAGATCGACAACCTGCAACGTGTGAAGCAGAAGCTGGAGAAGGAGAAGAGTGAGCTGAAGATGGAGATTGATGACTTGGCCAGCAACATGGAGTCTGTCTCTAAAGCCAAGGTACAGTGTTTCTGTCACATTACTGCCATATTAAACACGCCCCAATACATGCTCTTGATTATGATTGTATTTTGCTATCCCATACAGTTGCATTGCTTTTCACCTTTAGATCAGCATGCTAGAACTCAGTGGGTAGTCCTCTTTTTTTACATGCCTTTGATGCACAGGCAAACCTGGAGAAGATGTGCCGCACACTGGAAGACCAGCTGAGTGAGATTAAGACCAAGGAAGAAGAGCATCAGCGGATGATCAACGACCTCAATGCTCAAAGAGCTCGTCTGCAGACAGAGTCAGGTAATGTACCCTATTCCCTCTGGAACAGAGGAATTTGTAATCAATGATAATGTGAAAAAGACTGATGCTTTACTCAAATTGATCTATTCTCTGTAAGCTTGTATACTGTGCTTAAAAGAAATATTGATTTAATATTGATTTTAAATTGTAATCTTTCTGAAAAATTTCTTAGGTGAATATTCACGACAGGTGGAAGAAAAAGATGGTTTGATATCTCAGTTATCCAGAAGCAAACAGGCATTCACTCAACAGATTGAGGAACTAAAAAGACACTTAGAGGAAGAAATAAAGGTAAAGTTTCTTCCTGTAGGGGACTGATTTTGGTCTGGGCATCTGTTTTCTTTATGGATATTACCTACTATCACATAAAATCAGAATTTTAGCTATATAGATTTAATTTTTGAGCTCTCAAGCAAGGTGAGAAATTTTACCTCCTCCCTCTCTGGTGTGGAAAGTTGAGAAATACATCCCTCCCAGTGTGGATACTGAGATAGGGAAAAACAATTTTAGGTCTTTAATCAGATTTATAATGACATAAATTTTACTATTGCATGGGAAATTAATTGTACCCACCCAATTGTCTCCCAAGGCCAAGAACGCCCTGGCCCACGCCCTGCAGTCTGCTCGCCACGACTGTGACTTGCTCCGGGAACAATATGAGGAGGAGCAGGAGGCCAAGG